AACAGTAAACCTACAAAGATGCTCTTCTTCCATGAAGTCCTTTGGCAGCAGCAGGCTGGCATGCAGATGTGGTTATCCATGCTCCTGTTCCATAGGATGAAACAATCTGCCTATGGGAATTATGCAAACACAACCGAGACTTACCACAGCTTTGCAAGTCAGTACTATAAACCACAGCAGCTGTAATCTTCAGTCTGTAGGTGAGCAGTACACCAGAGAGCTGCTCTTCTATCCAAACGGAGACTCTCTTATTAAGAAAGTATCTTCCTCTCTGTCCAGCTTGACAGATGACCCGTGCTTATTGTGAGCTGCATTCACAAGTGTCCAGATAAAATCAGACTCATAGAATCCCAGGCAGGAAGAGACCTCAAGGATCATCTGGTGCAACCTTTCTTTGAAAAAGCTCAGTCTAGACAAGATGTCCCAGCACACCCTCCAGCCGAATCTTAAAGGTGTCCAGTGTTGGGGAATCCACCACTTCCCTGGGGAGATTATTCCAATGGCTGATTGCTCTCATTGTGAAAAATTTTCCTCACATCCCATTGGAATCTCCCCAGGAGGAACTCAGACTCATTACCCTTCATCTTTTCCATGTGATTCCTTGTAGAGGGGGAGTCTCCACCTTCTTTGTAGCCACCCTCTAAATACTTCAACAAGGTATTAAGGTCTCACCTAAGCCTTCTTTCTTAAGGCTGAACAACGCCAGCTCTCCCAGCCCTTCCTCATATGGCAAGCTTCCCATCCCTTTGATCATCTTTGTGGTCCTTCCCTGGACCCTCTCCTGCCCATCCACACCTCTTGCACAGCAGGGACCAACACTGAACACAGTATTCCAGGTGTAGCCTGACAAGCATTGAGTGGAGTGGGATAATGGCTTCTTTCTGTATACTGGTAATGCCCCTGTTGATGCAGCCCAGCATCCTCCTAGCTCTCTTAGCCACAGCACACTGGTCACTCCCAAGGAGCTTCTTTCCACCAGGTCCCTTTTCATAAAGCTGGCCCCCAGCTGGGTACATCCCAGCCTGTGCTGCACTCCTGAATTATGTTTTCCCAAGTTCAAGACCTTACATTTGTCCTTGCTGAGATTCCAATGGCTGATTGCTCTCATTGTGAAAAATTTTCCTCACATCCCATTGGAATCTCCCCAGGAGGAACTCAGACTCATTACCCTTCATCTTTTCCATGTGATTCCTTGTAGAGGGGGAGTCTCCACCTTCTTTGTAGCCACCCTCTAAATACTTCAACAAGGTATTAAGGTCTCACCTAAGCCTTCTTTCTTAAGGCTGAACAACGCCAGCTCTCCCAGCCCTTCCTCATATGGCAAGCTTCCCATCCCTTTGATCATCTTTGTGGTCCTTCCCTGGACCCTCTCCTGCCCATCCACACCTCTTGCACAGCAGGGACCAACACTGAACACAGTATTCCAGGTGTAGCCTGACAAGCATTGAGTGGAGTGGGATAATGGCTTCTTTCTGTATACTGGTAATGCCCCTGTTGATGCAGCCCAGCATCCTCCTAGCTCTCTTAGCCACAGCACACTGGTCACTCCCAAGGAGCTTCTTTCCACCAGGTCCCTTTTCATAAAGCTGGTCCCCAGCTGGGTACATCCCAGCCTGTGCTGCACTCCTGAATTATGTTTTCCCAAGTTCAAGACCTTACATTTGTCCTTGCTGAGCTTCATAAGGTTCTTGTTATCCCACTCTTCCAGCCTATCCAGGTCTTCCTGCAGAGCGGCTCTCCCTTCCGAGGTGTCCGCTTCGCCCCTCAGTTCGGTATCATCGGCAAACTCCATCAGGTGCACTTGATCCCATCATCCAGGTCACTCATGAAGACATCAAACAGCGCTGAGCCCAGTACAGATACCTGGGGGACCCCACCTGGGAGAGGCTGCCAGTTTGCCCTGGAGCCATTCACCCCAACGCCGCGGGCAGAGCCTGTCAGCCAGCTCCCACCCACCGCACCCACTGCTTGGCTAGACCGTAGCCCAGCTGTTCCTCTAGGAGGAGGCTGTAAGAAACTGTACCGAAAGCCCTGGAGAATTCCAGGTAGACAGTGCCCACCGGTCACTGCACGTCAACCAAGCAGCTTACTTAGGTGTAGAAAAACCTTGCTCTTCTGCATGTCTCACCACTTTTTCAAACACATTTTTAGTACAAGATCAACAGTTCCAAGAAGATAACTTACTTGATATCCTTTAATATTGTCTTTTTACAGTATTTCCTCAGAGCATATCATCCTTCTGAACAGACTGATCAGACAGTTTTGCTGACAAATTTCTTTTTTCCCTCTAGCCTGCTCTCCCTGTCTCTCAAGTACATTTAAAACTTGTCCCTTTGTCATGTGATACAGAACAAAAACAAACACTAACTTTTTTTTTAACATGAAAACAGAGACACCGCACTTATGTTTTTGTCTGCCACTACCCATTCCTCACAAACCACAAAAGCTCAGGAGCTTCTTTCCCATCCATCAGATACCTACCCCCCAAGAGAAAGCACTAAAGCCAACATGGGTAACGACCATTTATATCCACAGAGAAGCAAACAGGACCAGCTAACACGTTTCAAGTTCAGCAAGCGTATTACGAGATGATGACCCTTTTATTCAAGCCATCAGTTGGCACGGGACCCTGCCTGCCCTGCCGTGCACACAGTGAGTTAAACCCTTAGCACGTTTGTCCGTAGGAAGGGAGCGAGGGGGCCAGGACCAAGCAGGCCTATTGCCTCTCCTTACACACCCAAGCTCACGCTTCTGACCCAGCCATATCAGATTTTTTTAACAAGCTATCTCAGAGGAGTCAGTCTGCTTAGACACCTCTAATGTTTTTAATACTAATCGAAGCTTAACCTTGATAATGCTGTGCCATGGGTTAACTTGGACACATGGAACAGATCGATAGTAAAGAGTGAAAAAACCACACAGAGCTATGAAGCACTGCACTATTTTCACAACCTTATTTTCCTCCAAGCGCACAGGTTCTCGTCTTGTAAAAGACAAAATAGATACTGGTAGGAATTACCTCAGGACTTGTATAGTACTAGAACAACACGACCAGAGCTTACTGCATGCAAATGCCTGGAAATGAGAAGCTGCCAGGCATACAGAGCACCTTTTCTGTCCTCTAAGTGAATGCACCAACGGCCAATAAAAGCAGCTATTTTATCCACTGTAAAACTCCTAGACAGTAAAAAATCCTAAAAGTTCACATAAACTACATCATTTCACCAGAGTGGTTAAGCTAATGATTTCACCTCCACACCCTTTGGGGAGTTAAAATATACTGTACATCGGTACATATTTTACACATTTAACAAGCAACTAAGAGCCAATTGCTCATTGTCTATTCAGAGCCTAAATTAAGTGCCCAGCTGTGGCAGCTAACCACGTTTCCCATTAAGATAGAAGGCTGCTTGTTTTTATTCAACAGGCAGTTCATTTTCACTGTAAAGTAGAAGGGGAAAAGGAAGTTTGCCAGAAGCACGAATGTTACCACAGTGTGAAGAAGTGACTAGCAGGTAGTTCTCTGGAGCACAATGACACCAGATTTATACGTTTATCTTGGAGTAATCCTGAGTTTTGGGCTAGGGCAACTATGATTATTTGGCCTCATCTTGTTACTGCTAGAAACGTTCCGCAACGTACCCATTCATTTCCAGGACTAAAGTTACTACACAGACTTCGATGCACTAGAATTTCTCCTACTTTCTGCTTTGTTTTAGTACATTTTCATTCTCTGACAGTTTGCATTTATGTTCCCTCTTGAAAATATATTTTAAGAAAATCCATCCCAGCAGTGTCAAACTTCAAGTCATTTTTTTAATTTTAATTTATTTTCTATCTGGCTAGATTTCATCCTCTATTTCTTCCTGCTTTCTTCTTTCTTCAACTCTTTCCAGAGGCTGCAGAGACTTTTGCCAGTCCATTCAACAGATAAAACCAGGCAGCCAGCTTCTACCTCCCACAAAACTTCCCCTCCTTACAGCAAGGTAAGGAGACTATTATGGAGATTATTATGGAGACGTTATTGCAGCCTTCCAGTACCTGAAGGGGCTACAGGAAACTGGGGGGGACTTTTTACAAGGGCCTGTAGTGACAGGACAAGGGGTAACGGGTTTAAATTGAAAGTGGGGAGGTTTAGATTGGATATCAGGAAGAAGTTCTTCACAGAGAGGGTGGGGAGGCACTGGGACAGGTTGCCCAGAGAAGCTGTGGATGCCCCATCCCTGGAAGTGTCCAAGGCCAGGCTGGATGAGGCTTGAAGCAACCTGGTCTAGTGGAAGGTGTCCCTGCCCATGGCAGGGGGGTTGGAACTAGATGATCTTTAAGGTCCCTTCCAACCCAAACCATTCTGTGATTCTATGATAAGGTCCTGCAACTGGCCTGGGGCAAGGTCAGACATGTGTCCCCCACCAGCTCCTGAGGCTCCTTTGAATGGTCAGGTTACAGCCAGGTCAAACATATCTCCCAACAGCCATTCTTCTATGGCAATTAGTACTGAGTATTAGGAGAATATTGGACACATTCATTAGGTGCAGAGGGAAACTCTTTGCGGGACCTTTCAAAAGTTCTACAACCAACCACCAGAGCTGGCAAGTGTAGCTTGGCCATCATGTTCCAAGGATCTTAAAAAGGCCCTGGATATACATTTTCCCATGACTGATTCCTTTTTTGGGTTCGTTCCCTTTTCAAACACTTTGGGGCAGGAAGTGTCACATTTCATAAGGCACCACAAGAATGTTTTGCTTGCTAGTAAACCCAGTAACCACCTGCTTTGCAACCTAGTAATTGCACACAGTAGCTCCTACATCTCCTACTAGGAAAAACAGTTAAAGCTTTTCCTACCATTTACTACCTTCCAGACCTAACTGACAGTTTGCTTCTATAAGGATACCATTAAAGAGTTCATTAAAGTCTCTCAAAATGTGGCATATTGACAATTACCACCTGAATCGGGCACCGTGCCTTGCTCATGAGGCCACCGAGATGGCTCCTCCACCTACCTGCTGCAGAACACAGCCTCGGACAGTGCCCACGGCTTCACTCGCCGCCCTGCGCTTCATGCCACTGACCATCTCCGCCTGGGCTAGCCACAGCCCACCCCGTTTACTGCTTCTCCTGTCTTCTCAGAGCCCCACGCTGCACAGCTGGCAGGTAGGGCAGAAATAGCCAGCTTTTCAAGCACGACACTGTAGCCTATGGAGACACGAGTGTATTTGTTACCTTATTTCCCTTTTATAAATCTGTGCTTTCTTTCGGGCTTCACTGGAAACAACCCACCTTATTACTACCGTCTCATTTGCCCTTCTCTAAGAAACCCATCAATTTTCTACCTTCCAGCAAGTTCCTGTTGCAACAGTAATTTCAGATGTCCATCGCACAGATTTTAGTATGCTGCTATAGTTTTCAATATTTCAAGCACAAATATAAAAATCTGCGTATTTGGTCTTGGTCTGGCTGCTTGGCTGGTCTAATCGAAATAAAAATCTTATTTCCAAAGGCACTTCTTCATTGTTTTCTATTTCAAGTTAATCAAATTCTACTCTATCCCTATTTAAGAAAGCTGAGTTTCCATGATTTCCTCCACAAAAGACAAATTCCCTCAAACTGCTCACTTGTCAAAACCAGTAATTCCTCAAGTTCTCTACAGACTAACTTTAAATGGCATTTTGGCTTAAATGACATCCATCTTAAATGGTGACTACTAAAAAGGAGCCATGAAACTCCATGAAAACCTGGAGGCATTGCTAAGCATGTTATTTACTTCCTGGTTACATACCTTGTTTTGTTTCTGAAAACAGATTTAGAATGACAGAATGGTTTGGGTTGGAAGGGCCCTTAAAGCCCATCCAGTCCCACCCCCCCTGCCATGGGCAGGGACACCTTCCACTAGACCAGGTTGCTCCAAGCCTCATCCAACCTGGCCTTGAACACTTCCAGGGATGGGGCATCCACAGCTTCTCTGGGCAACCTGTCCCAGTGCCTCCCCACCCTCTCCAGGAAGAATTTCTTCCTGATATCTAATCTAAACCTCCCCACTTTCAATTTAAACCCGTTACCCCTTGTCCTGTCACTACCGGCCCTTGTAAAAAGTCCCCCCCAGCTTCCTTGTAGCCCCTTCAGGCACTGGAAGGCTGCAATAAGGTCTCCCCGGAGCCTTCTCTTCTCCATGCTGAAAAGACCAATTGTCTCAGCCTGTCCCCATAGCAGAGGGGCTCCAGCCCTCGGAGCATCTCCGTGGCCTCCTCTGGACTCGCTCCAAGTGGTCTATATCCTTCTGATGTTGAGGGCTCCACAGCTGGACGCAGCACTCCAGGTGGGGTCTCACAAGAGCAGAGTACAGGGGGAGAATCCCCTCCCTCGCCCTGCTGGCCACGCTGCTCTGGATCCAGCCCAGGATACGGTTGGCTTTCTGGGCTGCCAGCGCACACGGCCAGCTTATGGCCAGCTTTTCAACAAGCAACTTAAATGAAAACACACCATGTTCAGTCTTTGCATGCTATCAACTCATCATGTAACACATGCTGGCCAATTAATGTATGTGCCAATTTTACACAGCTGAGGAAAAAAAAAAAAGAGGCAGTTTTACCCTACTCTCCAGAAGCTTAAGAATATGTTAAATGTGTGACTACCTGCCTGCTCAATTTTATCACCTCTTTTTCAGACATTTTGCACTAGATTAATGGTAGAGAGATGCAGAACCTGGAGCTGTTCCTGCTAATTCCAGCTCCTCATCCCCTCTTATTAGGGTAGTACCTGGATCAAGGAGCTTAGACAGTGCGCACAACAGAGTATTACAGACAGCTTTTCCTTTCTTTTCTAATTCCATTCTCATTTACTATGCCCCAAAGTCCAGGTCTTATCACGGAACGTACTTTGGTAATGTGGCTCTCTTCTCAAAGCAGCCTCCTCGCTGATTTCTGAGAGTTCACTTTGGCAGTAATTTTGAAGATGACCCAGGTAATGGCTCAATCCAGAGTGCTCTGCACCCACCGATAATAAGGCACCCCTCGATTTGCTGGAAGAATATTTACCAGACAAATCTGGGACAATGCATCATGGCTTCAAAGGCAGCAATTCCTAGTTCTCACTCTGCTGGCAATGATGGGTAGGTCACACAAGGGTAGCGCTCTCAGACTTGAACCTAAATCCTCTGTGCCACAACCAGCCCACTCCATTTTCTCTAACAACAGGGGGTTAGCAAAGCAGCTTGTAAATCAAAAACTAATCATGAAACGGAGCCAGCGTCTAGAACAACATTAAATGGCAGGCATCCTTCCCCACTGCATGAGGACTGAGCTCTATATGGCCTCTCACCTCCAATCCCATAATACTGCTGGCTAAGTACTAGCACTTAGCAGAAGTTTGGTCACTGCCCTTAGTTCTGCAGACAGTAACTCCAAAGTTATTATTCTCACAACACCAACTTCAAATGATATTTAAATACCGCTACAGAGAACACCATCTTCTATTTTTTAACACTTCCATGCTCCTACCAGGAAAAAAAAATGTTTCATACTGGACCCAATTACGATGCAACCAATTTTAACTGGATGTGTTCTGAAACAGCATATGTATTGCTCATAAAGGAAGTCAGTAAATATGATTGATAAAGATTAATACAGACAAAGCGAATTATATTACGAACAGCTGGAAATCAACTTTGTCCTTGCAAGCATGAGACGGCACCAAAGGTCTCTTGGCCTTCCAGTGCAAACAATTCAAAGAGGAGGAGGAGTTTTTCAAACAGGGCAAAAAGTATTGAAATGCTGGTATGCTAACAGCTTGCTCCGTTTCCGTTCTAATGACCTGCCAACTTCAACTTTCAAAATACAGCTCTTATTTTAGAAAATGCCCTATTCTGCATTCGTGTCTTCATTCCCCATTTCAGTCCAAGTCCTCTTTCTGGTTTGTTTCCTCCATTATTATTATTTTAATTTAACATCAGTTGTGCTACATACATTTTTCTTTACCAGCATTGGTATCCTCCCAACCCACTCCCAGCTTATGAACGTCTTGTCCTTTCTAGTCTGGCTATTCACAATTGTTGCTCATCTGGCCAGTGAGCAAGGCCCCAGTTGAGACTGTGCTGACCCAAATCGGGAGTTTTTACTTTTCTCCAGTTCAAAATGATCCAAACGAACATCACAGGAGACAGACCAGTTCGGTGCCATTAACCACTATACCTCAGTACACGTCGTCCCCACGTACACCCGTACACCGTGTCCTTGTCCCTTACCTGATGACTGGGGAGGTTCCCCTTTAAATGCCCACAGAAAATGCCCCCTCCGAACCCCTCTCCTTCAGCACAGCATGGCATACTAGGCAGTGGGAGGATGAGTACCTCATCTGCTGAAAGCAGCAGTAATGATCTATTGAGGCTTTGAGAAAGGCACAAGACTTGATGAAGGGATGAGTCAACATCTACGCTGCAAATGCCTGGAAAGGAGCACTGTCCCACGCTGCTACCAGTCAGGTGGGCTCCACACAAAGTGTGCTCCAGCCATCACCAGGGTTCACTCAGCTGTTTCCCAACTGGTTTTAGCACAGCTGCAAATCCACCTACGCTGGAAATAATCAGCCTCTTTAGAAGTCTTCCATACAGTTCAATATCACAACCACAAAGACATCAAAGCACTAAAAGATGAGGTATTTGGACGACTCCTCTCCTTTGTGAGGTGCAAATCTACCATCAGCTTAGAAAGAAACCTAAAACTCTGTCACTCTGGCTGACACAGTACCAATGAGGAAAGTCACTTCCAAATTAACTGAAGGGAGAATAGTCTTCTGCAGGTACATAGTCAGCACTCACTAATACAGATACACCCATATTGGGGTGGGGAACTCTAGTTTAAATCAGACATGCCAGGCTCCAAGCAACTCCTTTCCATTCAGGCATCAGACCTTGGAACTGCAACCAATTGCTATGAAAGCACCAGTCCAGCATTTAACAGGGGTCAAATAAAAATAACAAAACAGTAGAAACCATCAGGAAACACACACAAAAAGCCCTCAAACACTACCATTATATACTCTTCAGCAGCACATCATCTGTGACACTGTTTGTAGGTCATCACTCAGCAATGGGTGATTTTCACGGCGAGTGAAGCCGTGGGCACTGTCCGAGGCTGTGTTCTGCAGCAGGTAGGTGGAGGAGCCATCTCGGTGGCCTCATGAGCAAGGCACGGTGCCCGATTCAGGTGGTAATTGTCAATATGCCACATTTTGAGAGACTTTAATGAACTCTTTAATGGTATCCTTATAGAAGCAAACTGTCAGTTAGGTCTGGAAGGTAGTAAATGGTAGGAAAAATCACTCTGCGTCTCTGCAGGCCTCCCCTGGGCAGAACTGGGTTCGCCCCCTCCTGCAGGCAGGGCCCCAGGCAGATGGCCCCTGGCATCAGACACTGTGCCTGGTTGGCTTTCTCCTTCCCACCAGCTCTAACACCTCAGGAGATTACTGGTTGCAATTAGTAGTTTGTGTTGATAAGTGAGATGAAGCAAAGCCTCGCCACCGGGGAACGATGACAATCACAGCTATGCTTTCATCCCACTGACTGGGCAGCCTTAACCCCCCTTCCACTGAGGTACATCTGCAGTGTGAAGCGAGAGAAGAAGCACCTCACTTTGATTTATCTGGGCAGGTATCTATAGCAGAGCAGGCTGCCCTAGGCTGCTTCTGCAGTCAGTGCAGACCTCATTCGTATGGACAGCGGTGTCCATGGCACACTACATCCACTTACTTACTTTTCTATCCCTTCGGCATGTTAACGTCCCTCTGGGCTTCAAGAATCTGAACATTCTTAATATACCTTGCTCCTGATTTTTTCCAGCCCTTCTAACAATCTCCATTAGTCATTTCTAATTCAGCTGCATCTTTCACTGACACAGGGTGACCAGAAAGGCAGCAGGGCTGTCATACTTGGTTAGACACCTTTGTTTTGTTTGGCTCTGATGCCCTTCTGGCATCAGACTTGTGTTTTCACCTCGCTTGAGAGGACAGTGCAACTCTTTACAACCATTTGTCAAACTGCTACTAAGGCTTCCCTATCGTCATCGTGATGCTGTTCACAAAA